ATCTTCTAGAAGACTCCTTAGTCTCCTAACACTAGAGGAGATCCTAGTAGGAATACATTTCCTAATTAAATTAACAATCATGGAATAAAATTAATTCCTATTTTGGGAAGCCTAATTCTACTCCAATTAATTATTTAATGTAGGAAATATATTTCCTACTAATCTCCATCTTCTAGAAGGCTCCTTAGTCTCCTAATCCTGAGAGAAGATTCTAGTAGGAATTTTATTCTCCTAATTAAATTAATTAATATGGAATAAAATTAATTCCTATTTAATGGAATTAAATAATAAAACATCCACTAGAGTAATATTATTGCTCTCCCCCATTTAGCCACTATTTTACCAATAAAATTGAGCCTCCATGATTAAATAATATTAATCCGATTGATCGATTTACCTCCCTATGTTTAAGATATAACATCCGTTGATTAATTAAATTACTGACAAAATAATTAATCAACTTCTTATGAATTTCTGAAATTAGTACCACTCAGATCCTTAACCATTATGTCAGACAATCGTCTACCTGCAGGGTTTAACATAATGTACATTCCTGAGCTTATTTTGGGGACGTCATCAATCCAGCGCACTGGAACATAGTGACCATAAATAATTTATAATAGCACATCATATAATTATTCTTACTTACCAAAATACCTCGTATGTCATCCTAATAAAATAGGAATCACTTGGTAAATCAAATAAATAAGAAATAAAAATATATGCCTATTTTATATTATCTTACAGCTTAAGAGAACGCATCAATCACTGAAGGTCTAGGTTACAACAACGGTCAGTGAGTCTCATATCCTTATCCTTCCGTGGTCCTGTTCAACACTTAACATAAGTGCTAGTGTAATCCTTCAGTCAAAGACCAACTGAATCAAGAATACACTACAGTCTTTTTCCAAGAGGGGTCTCACTGTCTGTCTAGACTGTGAACGAATAGTTTAGTCTTATAAGGAACCGACAGGTGATCTTTCTGTTCGAAACACTTCTAACCACACTATCTCAATATAAGATATGGAGTATGATTTGCATAAATAAATAAACTGCAAACATATGTACTTTGACCGAAACATGATGACCAGATCAAAATGGAATTGATAGAATCTGCAAAACATCGCTTTTACAGCATACCTCTAACATCTTTCGCTACCAACTTGTTATCAAGATATAACTCGGCACCTACGAGGAGACATTGGAATGGAATCAAGCATATATTCCATTATCTCCAAGGGACAATCGATTTGTGGTTGTTTTACTCTAATGATAAAAAACATGAAATAATCGGTTTTGCAGATGCAAAATATCTATCAGACCCCCATAAAGCAAGATCTCAACCCGGCTATGTTTTCACGATTGGTGGAACTGCATTTTCTTGGCGTTCCCATAAACAAACATTAGTTGCGACGTCTTCAAACCATGCTGAGATCATTGCACTTCATGAAGCAACTATGGAAAGTATTTGGCTTAGAAACATGACTCAACATATTCAACAAGCCAGTGGACTATCGAACAATAATGACCCGACGGTGATATTCGAAGACAATGCAGCATGTGTCGCTCAAACCAAGGAATGATACATCAAGAATGACAGAACTAAACATATCCCGCCAAAGTTCATCTCATATGCTCAAGAGCTTGAAAGAAACAAACAAATCAAAGTTCAATATATTCGATCCAGCGATAATGCAACAGATTTATTTACGAAGGCACTCCCGACGACAATATTTCGAAAGCACGTATACAATATTGGAATGAGGCATCTTCGATATTTGCACGGATTATAACTCGAGGGGGAGTATGTGCAGCTGTACTCTTTTTTCCTTATCTCGGTTTTTTTCCCACAGGGTTTTTCCAGATAAGGTTTTTTAACGAGACAACATAAACGTACATTTAATAATGGTAACTCCAAGGGGAGTATTATGAACAAGTGGATTTACGACTAATAATAAAGCTTATCTTTTCATTATTGTATTAAAATGTATAGAGATGTGTGCCAATTTGCCTATGAAAGGCAAGAGAGAAAATGAAAAAAAAAAAGAAGAAAGAAAGAAAAGTTTGATTTATATCCGACTTTTACTTTATTTTTGCCGCATTTTATAACACAAATAACCCTTTTCCAATCTTATTGGTACGAGACTTTTCTATGCTAGCGAAAATATATCCTTTTCTCTAACCCTAGTCGATTTTCGCCGCTCTTCTGCCTCCTCTCCGCCGCACTAGTTCCATCTCCGCCGAGGAGGTGGCTCGCACCGGGGTGGTGATGTTTCTCTTTGTCCAGCCTCCAGCCCTCCTCGAAGTGGCGCTCTCCCTAGCTGTTGAGGGCCACGACGGGTTCAGTGGGTCTCGCACGGCGGGGCGGAAGGGCTGTCGCCGTCGGATCTGTTCGCCGCCTTGGTGGTGGTCGGGTCTGTGACGAGCGACTAGGCATCCCTGGATCCGTGGCGTACCTGGTGCTAGACGGACGGATCGGTCAACGGGGGGTTATGGCTTTAGCAGCCTTCGTCAGTGTTGGTGAGGGGGTGCGTTTGGTGGCAGGTCTCTCGGCGTGGTGCTGTCTTTCTGGTGGCGGTTGGAGGGTGTGCTGGTCTTGATGAGGGCTTTTTTGTATTTTTTTTTTGTGCTTTTTGCACTTTTTGTTATTTGTGTGTAGCTTATTTGCTCCTGCCGGCAGTTATCTGGCGGACTCAACCTAATTCGGGTCGACTGTTGGAGGTCTGGTGGCTTGACCGTCCCTCGCCTGGTGTGGCGCCTTTCAGAGCTCCTGGAGGCCATGGCAGAGGGTGGGATGTCCGTTGAGTCTTTGATTTCTCGCCCAGCCGCCGGCTCTGAGTGCCGCGCTGACAGAATTTTGGAGTCAGGTTCTTGCATGAAGCTTGTGCCCGGTGTTGACCAATCTCTGGTGTTGGTGGGCCACATTGGACGTGGCAGCCTCTGGCTTCCGTTGGGAGGGGCTGTGGGTTCCGGTGTGTGTATGGGTGGGGTTTGCTGTGTACAATCCGAGTTTTCTGGAGGCATTTGCCTGTGGAAGGGTACGTTGGCTTTCGGGCGGGTTCTGGTTAGCCTGGTTAGCCGGCTTTGGTCAGGAGTTTCCTGCTTCGTGCTCGGGGCCACTATCTTAGGATGTCGGTGCTGTCGAGTAGCTGGTGGGGTTTTATGTGGTATTTGTATGTTTAGTTTTTGTTTATTGTGTGTGTACGTATTCTTTTTTTGGGAGTTAAATTCTCTGTTGGGAGCTTGTGGGTGAGTTATCCTCCCAAGGATTCCAACTACAGCCGTGTGGTTGCTCTTTCCGGCTGTCACCGGTTGTTATTTGTTTGTGATTATGTGTTATTTTATGAAACGATGCCGTTTGAAAAAAAAAAGTTGATAATCAAATGACAAGATAACATGTTTATTTTATTTTTTAATTTTTTTTTTAACATGAAAGATGAGGTAGACCATGCTTCTCTTTAATACATTATATTGTTATGACTTCCACAATACATCTTCGTGATTCTTGTTCATTATACTGTATTATGCAGAACGATGTAATTACACCTCAACAAGAAGCAATTGGTGATGCGAGAAAATTGTTTAGATGTAGAGGTATTACTCAGGCATGGTAAATTCAATGTAGGAGAGTTGCACATTCTGTATGTATGTTGGATTCTCACAAGTTATCTTACATATATTGAGACAAAACTGTCCACATACTCTTTTCAGCCTACCTAACGTTCCATCACCTCTACAGTAGTGTAAGAGAGACTGCGGCAGACCGGAGATGAACACCATCCTTCTCCCATCTATTCTCGGGTGCAGCCGCTCCCGCAATGATTGCCTAAATAATGAAAAAAAAAAATTGAAAAGTAAGAATGCAAAAAAAGCAAGAGTTTTCCAAAAAATATACTGGAAGTATATGAATGGCAGAGTTTCACCTTCCCACTACTTACAGCAGCTACAAGTGCAACATGTTGTTCGTCCATTCCAAACTCGTAGAAGTAATAATTCCTGAAATAGGTAATGCATATCAAATTAACAATGCATGAAAAGTTGTCTTGCTTTCTTCAAATTGGCATGGCATATGAAGAAAAAGTGCTCACTGTTGATATTCAAAGATGGGTTTCATCAACTTAATTGGAAATGAACTAAATATTAAATGAATGGTGGGATGAGACCTTGTAGTTGTTTTAGGTAAATATACCTGTAACTCTCGTCTTCCTTAATTTTGATTGAACGGGCTGAGTACAAGGTAGCTCCACCTGCACAATATGACATTATGATTATTATTATTATTAAACAATGGTATTGCGCTTTTCATTAAAACGTCATTCACAGAGGGGGTACCCGGAACGAATATCTTAGCTGTCTCCTTCAGTGAACCTAAATCAGCAATGTCTTTGGCCTGTCCGAATCAGACATGGAATACAACACTTTATAAATTGCAGTTTTCATTAAGCTCTGCAAGTTTTTAGTTATATGATAATAGATATTTTTAATGTGCAAAATTCATGTCAAAGTGGGCGAAAAATTCCCTTGTATACCCATTTCACACTCATTGAAATGGCTTACGAAAGAAACATTAAAATGTTTATATTATTCTGCAGACAACAAATGGACCAAACTTCAAAGTAACATACTAAAGGTCATGATGCATCATAATTCTTTACACACACAAATAAATTCACAAACCTCCAAAAAGGTGATCTTTAGTTGATTAGATGGCCGAATTACAACACTGACAACTTCCGATCTGTGTGACACGGCCAACATGTGAACAAAATGTCAAGATTCAAGACGACATGACCAAGTAAAAAAATGGGTTAGCTAAACCAACCCATAGTTTTTTGATCTGTTGCAAGATTGATGGCAAACAGAAAATATTTTGTTTCTCTAACTTAAGTACTTAAAAAGGATTTTCCATCCACTTACAACAGCAAAATCAACCTTGAAGCATCACACGGATTGCTTAGAAGTTGCTGAACTCCTATAATCCAAACTAGACAATGCATAAACTGTATTAAGAAAAAATTAAGTTGAGATTTCTTTTTCCTCCGTCTTTCAGACATCAAATTATTCTCTAATAAACGATAACTGTAACCTTAAGGATGAAGACAATATGCCCTAAATCAACTAAAAACAATGCAAGTAGCAACCGTCGTGAAAGAGGTGCCTCTGAAACATAAAGTAACAGTCATTATCTGATTCTAATGGAACACATGACATCTGGTGGTGCATATTGGTTGAATAACAATCAGTGACATTTATCCAGTGGCACTATCATACAAATTCAGCAAGAACAAAATTTACTGCAGAAGGCAGCCTTTACCCATCAGGAGATGCAAAGCGAGCAGCATAAGTCTTTGGTTTAGCTTTATCTCCATAGAGAGCTAGTCCAACATTGTCGTCCTACAAAACCCACTAGACCGTATGTCATAGCGTAAAAACTGAAGTTGAGATAATATTGTCACAACACATCATCATATATGCTCCAATAAAATTGCAATACTATTACAGTAATCAACAATGACTGGAAAATGTAAAATGCTTAAAAAAATAAAATAAAATTAAAAAAAATATGCAATGCAAGTCTTGATTCCACTATCAAAGTCCAATGTTAATGCTAAAGGACATGCACAGATAACAATTAGGGAGTTCCTGAAGGTCTTGACATAGTAACAAATGATGCAACTAACCGTTAGGTAAGCACGATCATCGTGTGTTTCCAAATGTATATTACTAATAAACAAATCAAATTAAAAAAAAAAAAAAAATCTCTTCGTGGACTCTTAAAACTTGTGATATTCCTATTTCTGTCAACTAATCAATTTTCCTTCATAAACCTCACTGAATTTTATCTAAGTGAATAAGAAATCGAAATGCATAACATAAACCATGACTTCGGAGTATTTAAGCTCGTGTAGTTTATCTTCAAATTCAAATCATAGTAAGTTTGACAAGACAGAGTTCAGTTTTTCCAATTAGAAATCCAGTCTTTCATGTGTCTCAAAAAACCAGTCTTTATTAGGAACTATAGCTAATATGCTCCGCCGCTCCTGTACGAATCAGAGACACTTCAT